TACACTGCTAAATTAGGGACTGTTAGAGTATTACATAATGAGTTGGATAAATTTATTAGATGGACAATATTTAGTAAATGACCTTTAATTGTAGTAAGTGCAAGGTAATGCATTGTGGTTATTATAACTTGGATCACTTGTTTAGTATCGAGATGGGAACTGTATAACTGAATGAAACAATCTTGGCAAAGTTCTGTTGTTGGTAGCATAATTTTCTTGAGCTCAGGATGAATTTATAGACATACAAGTCTAAAGAAGCAAAGGGTTCAGAGAAGGGCTGTACTAGATTGATTCCAGGGATGAAAGTGGAGATAGGTTAAGATCTTTTAACTTATTTCCTCAAGAGAAAATAAGGATAAGAGGTGATATTAAAGAAGTTTTCAAGATTATCTTTGTGCTATATTTTGAAGATTTAATAAGTACAAGCTAATGGCTTATGGAATGAGTTGATGTTGGCAGTAGTGGAGGATGGCACTTTGTAAGAGCTTAAAATAAAATTGATAATTTTCTTAAAAACAAAGGGTGGATATAAATTTTTACTTCTTCTCAAGGGTGAGTGTACAAGGATAGCCGTGAGGAACCAAGTGTTGTTCATACATTATTAAATATTTTGTGAACATAAATAATAGAACAAAAGTTGTAAAAATAAGATATGTTTCTCTCATGGCATGTGATAGTTTGAAGCTTTTTAAAAAGAAATATAATTAATAATGTTGTAAGCTATATTGTTCTAATTTGTTTGTTAGCTAGAGGGAGCTGTGGGTCCAGAAAGTCCTGAAGATGTGTCAAATGTTTTAGTATATTCAGAGCTAGATTATCATATCGGATAGTTATTTCAAGAATAGAATGAGTTTGCTATTGTGCTTTTCAAGTTCCTTTGTATAAGTAAATAGATTTTATGTTAGTCCTAGTATTGTTAGAAAGGTTTGAACATTGTCTGTAATGTAGGCCTACAATAATTTTTGACAGCGTACAAGTGTTCAAGTTTAGAAATGTTGAAGCAGGAAATAATCTCATTTGGGATTGTTACGTGGACCATATGTTGAATCATGTTCATCAGATAATTGAAAAGAACTGCCAATGAAGGAATGATGTTACAACCCTTGGTTTTAGAAGAAGGATATTATTTTGTAGAAAATAAAATACAACTTTAATTGTTGAAGATGATAACCACGAGGTCAAAGAGTGAGAGCAAAGCATCTCTTGAGATGATAAGAGGACCAACTTTAACACTGTTAAGTAACCTTCCAACCGAGAATCGTAACAACTATGAAGTATTGGTAGCCACCTTAACTGACAGGTTTGGAGTGTCACACTATAATGTTCTAGAATAGGATATGGAGTAAAGAAAAAACCTTAGCCACACCTGTGGAAGATTTGGAAAGGCTTGACCAATTATCTTACCTGGACACTCCTTGTGAAATGATGATCAGTTTATAGTCGTCATAACATATTTGAGAATTAGGCTGAAGCAAAGCAGGTGAACATCCTTAAAAGAAGCTATACATTTGGTGATAGAACTTTAAGGTTGCAGATGAATTAATAAAGATACCATCTGTATGTTGTGGGGATATCAGTCCTGTAGTATTGAAAAATCAACTCTCCCTATCAAAAATGTAGAAGAACTAAAGGTATTAGTTAAACAACTAGTTGAATCAAACACGGGAAATAAAGCACAGGATAATAAATGTTTCAAGTGTCAAGAGAAAGTACCCATTGCCAGTTACTGCAGGTCAAGAACTCCCAAAGGATACCAGAAAGAGGTAACTGTTATAGATGTGGAAAACCATACCATTACAGCCAAGACTAAATAATGAGTAGCTGTTATTAAGACAAAGAAACAGAGCCCACCCAGATAGGTGAAACAACACATGAAGAAAACAGGAATTAGTTAGTTTTATGAAGGGAAATATAGCTGGAAATACTCCATCTACTATAAATAAACAAAGAAGTTCATAGTTTGAGAAAATCATTAATGAGTCCACAGACTTATTGATGGAACACCTTGCTCATTGACACTGGCTCCACTGCTATCATCATTCATCTCCATTTGTTAGTGAAAGATGGGAAATTACTTTCAGAGATGAAGAAAGAAGATGGATTGATGTGAACAACAGGTAGACAATGTTCTGGCAAAAGAGAAGTTGGAAGTTACCATTACTCAAGGAAGTTTCTCTCTGCCAGAAGAATGCATTTTACGAATTGATTTCATGCAGAGATGTGGATGTGAGGTCAGGCTATCTTCAGATAGCTTTATAGTCTATGACTAGGAAATCTCTAGGCACTACATGGCAATTACTCGTTAAACATCCAGTGGAAGCAAAAAGTTAATCTCAATGACTCTTCATCTACTGACTGAAGAAAAGTAAAATCAAATACTTCAGCATGTCATGAGGGACTAGTAGTTAGAAGAGCTTTCCTGCATGTTAAGAATAAAGATGTCGTATATGACTTTACTCCGGAAGGAATTAAAGTGAAAGGCAGCAATGTTGTTAGAGCTGATAAAATTGGATTCCATCAAGGTGACATCACTTAAATAGATGTTTGGAGGAGAGGCAACCCAAGCCAAAGGTCATCCATCGTGATCATCTTTGGAAGTATGTCTGTAAAAGAGTGGCCAACTGGTTAACTTTGGAGAAGAACTTGTCAGCAGAACCTCAACTTGTGGAGGAGCCCAGAGTTTATGTCAAGACTACTTCCAGAGTATAATCAAGGTTGGAGCTGCCAGTGGAGTCATTCAACCATCTACCCAAAATGAACTCATCCAGCAACGGAATGGCTAATGACAACAAGAGACAAGACCCCATCTGTGTACATTAGGCTTCAGAAGGGAAAATCAGCAGAAAGACTTGGTGAATGGACAATATTGTGTTTTTTTGTATTAGTATTGTTCAAGGGATTTCATAATCCAGGATGGAAGTAGTGTTGTAAGCCATATTTTCAAAGCATAACTTGCTTGTTAACTAGAGGGAGCTGCAGGTCATAAATTATATTCAGATAAGCCTAGAAAGTTGTAAAGATTTAGTGTCAAGTGTTCTATTACATTTGAAGTTAGATTATAAATACAGGATGGTGTTGTAAGAGTAAAGTGAGTTGAAAGATAGTCAAAGAGATAGTGGGTTGAGTTTTTTTCAAGATAGAGAGTTCAGTCACTTATTATATTTTTTGTGAAGTATTTGGATCTTTGATGGCCATCACATTTATTGTGTTCCTTTGTCCAAATAAGTTGATTTTACATTAATAATAGTATTGTTAAAGATGTTTGAACGTTATTTTCAACATAGGCTTACAACTAGTTACGACAGTGCACGAGTGTTTAAGCTGGCAGAAATGTTACAGGAGTAAATAAACTCCTTTGTGATTGTCATGAGGACTGGACATTGAATTGTTTTCAACAGGTAACATAAAAGGACCCGCCAACAAAAGAACAACATTTCCTCAATAAGAAAAATAAACCTTTAGGAAAAGTTCAGAGTTTATGGATTTGGTTTAGAAGAATGTTAATTTAAGACGTTCATACTTTAGGCCCATGATCTTTGTTTCTGTTACAAATGTTCTTTTAAACTGTGAATTTAGAGTTTTAGTTCACCGTGTACATCTGGTTCTCCTTCCACATACACTGAACCAAGGAGTGTAGAAGATTACGAGCACCTAGTTTCTGTTTTGAAGGTAAGGTTTTATTATTAACTTCTTCTTAGTGGTTTATAAACACTTTTCACAATGTGGAAATATAATTATTACTTATGTCTAAAATATTGTACTTTTGTAGAACTTTTGATTTTGATAAGTTTGAAAGAGTACATGAACGTTAAAAGTTATTAAAATATTAAATGTGATATTTCATAATCTGTAGCAAAGGGAGTCTCCTTAGTAATAAACATACTATTTTAAGGCTGTTAACTGTATGGTTTCTACTGACATGTTTAATGATATCGATTTTGACTCTTTTCACTGCCACGAGTAGTGGCATTAGTATGCCCCTGCAGCTTCTGCAGTTGTAGGTGGGGGGTCTGAAGGGCCTAACAAACATAAGAATTGCTGACAGGGGGAGATACATACAATTTAATTTGTTTGAACTGAAGGATGGTTGAAATGTTCTGTTAAGTTAATGATATCAGTTACTTTATCAGTTGTAGTTATGCTACTGGCCATGAGTTAGGTATTTGTATATAAAAAGATAAGTTTGACACTAGGATATTTTATCTATAGACTGGCAGTGATGGAGTTAATACCCACTGCTGTATTGAGAGATAACTTTGTTCTACGTGGTGTTTTTTAGACACAAAGAGAGATAGATTAATGTTTTTCTTTATGTTTAGTGTTGAGGAGTTTGTGTTATGTATCTTCTCTTTACACTCATTTAAAATTGCAAAAAGTAAATGTCCAGTCTAATTTTGATGTTCTTCTGTAAGTGAGGTCTGTTTTTTTTTTACATAGAAGTGTATAGAACATGATGGTTAAAAATGTAATGTTGTTTCTCAGAATTTGTAGTACATAGTGGAGAGACTTAGATGTTTTGGCAATAAAGCTACAAACTAAACTACTTTTACTCTCCAGGTGATAGTAAAAATACATTTCAGCCCCTTTACACATGCTTGTGTCTTAAATTATTAGCTAATATGTTTGCTTTAAATCCACAGCTAAATTAAACTTGACTTGTATGCTTGTTATAGCTTAAATAAATTTATTTGTTTTATCATGAATTCTTGTAACTTTACTTTTTTTTTGGAATTTACTGCTGACTCGCACAGAAAAGATAAAAGACTAGTAGTATGTAAATTCTCTCATTTATTTGTTTTTGTGTTTAAATGATATTGAACACTTCCATAATAAATATTTCAACTATGAATCTTTATTTATAATATACTCTGTAATATATATTTAACAGGTTGAAATACATAGACTTGAAATTCAATTAGAACATGCAATAAAATCTCTTCTACGAATAAGGCAAGAGTCTCAAGCAATTGTGGAAAAAATACAAGATGAAAAATACTACTTTGAATTGACACTTTGTAAAGAGGTAGGAAAACATAATAGTAATAGATTTTTTATCTGTTGATCCATTAAAAGTTTCAATAGCAATTTGATGAACTTTAACAACAGATTGCATGTGTTTCTAAGTATGTTACTATATCTTGGGAGGGATGGTAAAACTTAATGCTTTGACTTTCCGTTATGCATGTATATCAACCTTGTTAACTTTTACTGTCAAACAGTTTTGAGAATTTCAATAAATGCTTCCTTGTATGTTTTTGTTGTAAGAAAATTCTTTTTTTTTCAACATGTCAGGCATTGAAAATAGATAGGAGAGACTTCACTTAAACATTGTTTGATTTTGTTAGTTATTTTTATGAAACATAGTGATCTTTCCATAATTCTCTTGATTATCTAACAATTAAGAGAGAAGAAAATGGAGTTTGTTATTGTTATATTTAGTTATTTAATGTTTCAGACCTATGAGAAAGTTATTTCAGCACTTTTTACATGAATTAAGTTTCTCCGTATTAAATTTTAGGTATTGCATGTGTTAACTCCAAGAGTTCTCACCAGTGTTGTTTTGTTTTGGCATAATTGCCGTAAAAACCTCATTCCTAAAAAGAGCTTATCTTGATATTGGCAGACATACAGCACGTATCTCTTGGTAACTTTGACTCATATTATGAGTCAGTTTCTGATTTGGATACTCAAAAAAACCTTTTCAAAACTGCAGTTTTGTTTTGGCATAATTGCCGTAAAAACCTCATTCCTAAAAAGAGCTTATCTTTGTTTATTGATTAATCAAGTTAGTCACCAGTTCTATTCCTGTTTATTTATTGATTAATCAAGTTAGTCACCAGTTTTACTCCTGTTTATCTATTGATTAATCAAGTTAATCACCAGTTTTACTCCTGTTTGTTTATTGATTAATCAAGTTAGTCACCAGTTCTATTCCTATTTGTTTATTGATTAATCAAGTTAGTCACCAGTTCTA